CAGTAGTAAAATAAAGTATTTTTAAGGTATAAACTATTAAATATAAGAAAGAAAATGTTGACCGTTTTACAGGAACACGAAGGTGAAATGGGACAACGCGTCTTCATCACAGAGAAGGACTGGCTGCGAATCAACAGGCACTACAATTGTCCTGGCGCTTGGGACTAAAACATTTAGTTTTTTATTTCAATACACTTATCAAAACGTAAAAGCAGTTTTCATTTATCTTTTTTTTTCGTGCTTTATTGTAAACGCCTTTATCTAAGGTATATTAGATACTGCCATTACGGTATTCTCGTCCAGTCGACCTTGGCCGAATTGAAAAAAGATTATAGCAGACAAAATAATTTTACTTTATCAACCCATAGAAGTTCATTGCTGGACCTGAACCTGTCTCGTTGTATGGAGTTTTTCTTTCATATTAATTAGAAAACATAATCCTTAGTATCTTGAGTAAAAGGCTTACTTCCTCATCTTTGTACGAAAACACTAGTATCTTATATTGATTAGTGAGGGCTCTGACTGCAGCAACAAGCCAGCTATGCGATTATGTAACCATGGGCGTGCAACTTAGAACATTATTTTGAGAACAAAATGATATTTTTTTTGTGCTGCCATCTACATTCCAAAGCACTAGACTCAATTAGACGCATATATACCGTAATCTATGTATGTAACTCTGGTGAGAATCGTGGTTGGCTTCGTTTTGAAATTTGACGTTTGGTCACAGAATAAATAATAGTACTACGTAGTTTGGTTTCGACGTTGACGTTTGTATTGTGTATCATTTATAGATTATAAGCCGATGTTCTTTCTATAAAATATATTATTATATCATAAAATATTATCTAATATATTGCAAAAAAGGTAACTCAGTTATGGTGTGAGTCGTACCGGCAAATGATGGCCATTAGAGTAGTTGGTAGTTTATTAAAATAATCACTCAAATCCTAGCCCCAGATGCATAGGTTCGATCTTCCAGTTGTTACATTTTCGGTATGCGGTATGTTTAATATTTGAATTTTATGTTAATTCGATGCCTAAAAGTACTCAAAGTTTGTGATGTGTGTGCATCACGCTTTTGGAGTTAATTGGAGTTTATCGTCATCATCATCATTATCATCATTACAGCCCTTCATAAGTACACTGCTGAACATAGGGCTCTCTCAAAGAATACCACAAAGCACGGTCCCGAGCCACCTGCACCCATCGACTTCCTGCACGTCTTAACAGGTCTTCACTCCATCTAGTAGAGGGTCGCCCTACACTATGTCTACCGGTACAAGGCTGCCACTCGAGAACCTTTTTTCCACATCGGTTATCGGTTCTTCGAGGCATATGGCCAGCCCATTGCCCTTCAGCTTACTAATCCGTTGAGCTATGTCGGTTACTCTGGTTTTACTGCGGAAATCCTCATTTCTAAGTTTATCACGCAGAGAAACCCAGAGCATAGCCCTCTCCGTAGCTCGCTGAGTGAGCAATGAATGACCACGTCGCAGATCCATAAGTCATCACTGGCTACACGCACTGGTTGTGCAATCTAGTTTTCAGGTTTTGAGGTATACCTGACGAGAATATGTGTCGTAATTGATTGGTTGACCTCTCTGTCAAAGCTGGACTTACCTAGTCAGACTATTTGTTCCGGGTAAACGCACTCGTCAACAACTTCGAGCTTAGTGCTCCCAACAACTACCGTCATAGGTGTGACGTGGACATTAAACGTGATCTTTGTTTTGTCCGTGTCCATCTTAAGACCTATCTGTTGGGAGACACTGTTGAGGTCGTTGATCATAGTGCTTAGGTCCTCCAGCGATTCTGCGATAAGGACTATATCGTCGGTAAATCGAAGGTGAGTGATGTACTCGCCATTGATGTTAATACCGTATCTTTTCCAGTTCAATCAGAGTTTCGGGGATGTAATGTCACCCAGTCTTACACCTCTCTGGATTTGGATAGGTATCGTACTCTGATTCTGTACTCGAATAGCCATCGTAGCCCTATTGTACAAACACTACAGCACGTCGATATACCGCCAGTCAACTTGGCACCGCTAAAGGGACTGCAGCACCGCCAAAATTTCGACGGAATCGAATCGAAATTCAGGAGACTGGAAGTCGTCGAGTCTGCGAGCGTGACGATTCGTTATGACTCTCTAAAACAGCATGTAGACGCGACTCAGAAGGGAAATCGGTCTGCAGTTCTTCAAGAGAGCGTTGTCGCCTTTCTTGAAGAACAAGACCAACACACTTCTGCTCCTCGCCTCCGGAGTCCACCATGGAGGACGGAATTGAAGAGCTTCTGAAGGACTTTAAGTCCCGGTTTTCCATCCGCTTTCAGAAGCTCCGTTGTAATTCCATCCTCGCCTGGGGCCTTGCCGTTTTTAAGGTGTTGGAGAGCCATTCTAATCTTGCTCAGACTGAAGTCCGGGATATCATCGGAATAGTGTCGGATAAGACTTGCTCTTGGATAGTTACTCACACTTGCGTGTGGCTCCAACGATAATTTGTATAGCTGCCCATAAAACCTCTCAATCTTACTCAAAATCTCAGGTGTCCCGGAAACGATGCTGCCACACTCAGTCTTCAGTTTAGACAGTTGGCCTTTCTAGCAGACAGATCCCTGGCGAAGGCTTTGGAGCCCTGGTACGCTCGAACGCTTCTTCAATACGAGCAGTATCAAAGTTGCGCAAGTCCCGCCGCATACTTTTAGAGATCTATCTGTTCAGGTGCCTGTATACTGTCAAATCTGTTGAAGACTGCAGCTTCATTTCCCGTCTAACTGCCACGAGATTAAGAGTGTGGTCGGAGAGATTTTGTGTTCTTCCGCGGCGGGTCTTGCAGAACTTAGCTCCGACCGTATAGATAGTTTTCAACTGCATTGCAGTCTTCTAGGCACTGAAAATGGTTTTGTAACTCGAGCTGAAAGGTTTCGGGAATTTGTATTAGAGCACGAGGGGGACGGAGCGTTGACTTCATTAGACGAGACGTCTCCAACTTAACGTTTAGGTTCAGTGTGCCTCTTTAAACTCGGTGATTGCTACCAGTTTTCACCCTTGTGATCACTGAGACATCACTGAACAGTTGCCGTCTAGTCGTCATATGAAATCAATCTTATTTTTCGTCTAACCGTGGGGGCTTAAACAGGTCCACTTTCTGTGCGACCACTTCTGGAAGAAAGAGTTCATCATAAAGAGTCCCTCTTTCTCCATGAAGTCGGCCAGTTGCTGGCCCCTTGGGTTCCGGTGCCCCATCCCAAATTTCCGTACCTTCGGCTCACCGTTCTTTCTTGTGCTAAGTTTTGCGTTGAAGTCTCCCATTAACACCGTGTAGTAGGTTTTGGAGGAATGCATGGCTCTATAAATATCCTCATATATTTTCTCCACCTCCTTATAGGGATGTGCTGAGGTTGGTGCGTAAACCAGTATGAACTTCAGCGAATACAGTTTGGTGGTTCCGAGTATAAGGTACGCCTCGGTAACCCTCGTCGACACACTCGCAATTCTTGATAACGTTGTTAACGAGAGACTTGTGGACAATAAATCCAACACGTCCTTGAGACAGATGGTAGCCCTCCCGGTGATAGAACAAGTTGCCGAATTCGGGATTCACCGTGTCCTCCCCCTCTCTTCGGACCACGGATAATCCTATAATATTCCACCGCAACTTTGCTATCTCTTCTTCCAGCTCCAGGATCTTCTCGTCAGTTCTCAGGGTGCGTGCATTGTATGTGGCCAGGTCTTAGGTGGCGACCGAGCTTCCGCCGGAGATTCTTAGCATCCCCTGTCCCGCCGTTACCACTGTCGCCACCCTAGCCAGGAATAGCGGGGCCGCCGGGGACTGCGGGCCGTTTATTTGTTGCTCATGGGGTGTATATTTGAGTTTACTCCTTAAAATGGTTTTATATATAGCGCATGTTATAAAAAAAGACGTGTGGCACTCGGGGACTGCCGCGGTAAAGCTATTGCATAGCATTTTTTATCAACTTATGCAATTATAATTAATACATATTTCTAAAAAGTAACCAAACCAAATTATTTTATTTTGTATTGCAAAGCAGTAGATATTTTTTTTATATTCCTTTGATAAACAATGAAGGAGTAAAGTGGTTTCATCTCAACGATTTGGAGGTGATTTGGGTATTTTTTTATTTATTATGTGACACCGATAGAAAAATTATGGCTAAACCAAATTACGTATCAGATCATGTAGATTACTAGCTATTTTTTTCATATGTGATTTCTCTGTAAGTGTCGACGAAAAGTTGGTTCATCTGCACGCTTTTTTCAAGCGTTTTGCGAGAGAGCAGCCTTAATAATAAATGCACTTTGTTCATTCATATTCAAAATTTCAAAACACTTTATACACAAACACCGTGTCGAAGACTGAGGAAAAGAAACGACGTTAGACCATCGTTAGACAATGCACGGCCTTCAAGCCACACCTCCGTGCCCGTCGGAGAGCGTGAGGTTTTTTTTGTTACGAAATTTCTGGATTTTCCCGCACTCAAGGCCCGCGATAGAAGCTATGCAATAGCTTAAAAAATCAAAGGCAAAGGCTGTTTTAAACCTATTTTGTATTTTTTCTCAAGAACGGCTCAATAGTTTAAGATTAAATTAATATTAAAATATTTGTTAAATCATAATTAAAAAATGTATTGTTTTTTATTGTAGTTTTCTTAAAATATAGTAAAACATAATTTGGCCCCTTTCCGCCACCCGAAGTTCCCCCGCTGTGGCCCGTTACGGATATTCACCATCACCAGTGTCAGTTCGACTCTTGCGACTGGTGGACTGTGCGCGCGTTATTTTCTGACAAAAATATTAAAAAGTTCGCAATATTTCAAATTTATAAAAACAAATTGTTGTAAATAATTGTTGTAAATAAAACGTACATTAGTAATATATGGCAAAAAATTAGGAATTAAGTTGATTTATGTAAATAAAATTGTTTTTAGTTTTAGTTTTGTATATAATCGTATCATAGAATAGACTAAGCTTGACAATGCCGAAATACAAAAGCAAGACAAAAGTGAAGCGTGGCCAAGCTCTTCAAAACTATTGGTAAGTAAATTATCCTTATTTATTTTCTCTTGCGTAAATACTTATACAGAGTATGGCAGCGTTCCGAAAACTGTCGTGTTCCCTCCTACTGTATAGGTGGGGAACTTCTTTAGCCGTAAATAAGGTTGGTACTACAAAAAAGTCTAGTGAAAAAAAAAATATGAACGTGACCATTTTTGGCTGGTCTGATGCTACAGTCCTGCATTCCAAAGGTGGGTACAGGATCTCAGTGACGGAACCACGTAGAACCATCGTGTTTGTACTCATTTGAAAGGGCTCGCAGCTACCAAGCTGTCTGTGATGATTTCACTTACCTGATGCTGCACTCCGATGTAGTCCGATGGTGGGTACAGGATATCAGTGACGGAACCACGTAGAACCATCGTGTTTGTACTCATTTTAAAGGGCTCGCAGCTACCTAGCAGTCTATAATGATTTCATTTACCTGATGCTGCACTCCGTAGTAGTCCGAAGGTGGGTACAGGATCTCAGTGGCGGAACCACGTAGTACCATCGTTTTTGTACTCATTTTAAAGGGCTCGCAGCTACCTAGCTGACTGTGATGATTTCATTTACCTAATGCTGCACTCCGATGTAGTCCGATGGTGCGTACAGGATATCAGTGGCGGAACCACGTAGTACCATCGTGTTCGTACTCATTTTAAAGGGCTCGCAGCTACCTAGCAGTCTATGATGATTTCATTTACCTGATGCTGCACTCCGTAGTAGTCCGAAGGTGGGTACAGGATCTCAGTGGCGGAACCACGTAGAACCATCGTGTTTGTACTCATTTTAAAGGGCTCGCAGCTACCTAGCTGACTGTGATGATTTCATTTACCTGATGCTGCACTCCGAAGTAGTCCGAAGGTGGGTACAGGATCTCAGTGGCGGAACCACGTAGTACCATCGTGTTTGTACTCATTTTAAAGGGCTCGCAGCTACCTAGCTGTCTGTGATGATTTCATTTACCTGATGCTGCACTCCGAAGTAGTCCGAAGGTGGGTACAGGATCTCAGTGGCGGAACCACGTAGTACCATCGTTTTTGTACTCATTTTAAAGGACTCGCAGCTACCTAGCTGTCTGTGATGATTTCATTTACCTAATGCTGCACTCCGAAGTAGTCCGAAGGTGGGTACAGGATCTCAGTGACGGAACCACGTAGAACCATCGTGTATGTACTCATTTTAAAGGACTCGCTGCTATCTAGCTGTCTGTGATGATTTCATTTACCTGCTGCTGCACTGCGAAGTAGTCCGAAGGTGGGTACAGGATATCAGTGACGGAACCACGTAGAACCATCGTGTTTGTACTCATTTTAAAGGGCTCGCAGCTACCTAGCTGTCTGTGATGATTTCATTTACCTGATGCTGCATTCCGAAGTAGTGCGAAAGTGGGTACAGGATTTCAGTGACGGAACCACGTAGATCTATCGTGTTTGTACTCATTTTAAAGGGCTCGCAGTTACCTAGCTGTCTGTGATGATTTCACTTACCTTTTGTGAAAATGCTTTTATTGTATAATGCTTTTGTTGTTGAGAGTGACTGTTGAGAATATATTTCTAATGTAACTTTATGTTTTTAGGCAATTGTAAATCAGCGGGAAATCCCATTCAGAAAATCTGGGCAAAGATCCGTCAACTGACTCTAATGCATTACGTTCATCTACGACTATTGTAGAAACTCACGTTCCGTTCGGTATGGCAGTTGATGAGGACACTTCATCGCCAGATATTACGGTAGCTACTTTCTACAATTAAGAGTACCAGTCTATTTTTAATATTGTTAAATTGAACTTTGTCTCCTGGTGCCCCATTGCGCATTAATAACCATTCGTTTTTGTAAATAAAAACGTACTGAGGAAACCTACAAGTCTGAGAACCCATAAAATTTGAGAAATCCTATCCTATATCGTCAATAAAAATAAGCAAGATAATATTATATACAGAAGTTTTTTTGTATATGAATTAAGCAATGTATTACATGATAATTATTTTGTTCTCAGCATCAACAAGATGCCATTTTACCGGATTTAACTATTAAAAAGAATCAACCAGTAACAGAAAAAAGAAATTTATCTAGCAGTCGAATTGTTTATATAAAATCCTTTTTTTTTAAATGCAAGAAATCAACAATCATAGCCCATATAACTGTGGAGTACAAAGTTTAAAAATGTTGAAGAGAAACGAGTTGGATTGTTATCAAGTTTACTCTAGAATGTTTAATGTGTAAAGGAAAGTTTTTATTAAATAATATCCCAGGTGATCTGGAAAAATACAGAATCAGTCGCTGGTGCATCGATGTGTTAAGAAAAGTGTATTTTAAATGTCTCCGGTGATTTGGACATAAATACAGCTGTGGTTGCCGGTGCAGTTTCTGTTGGTATAGGCTACTCAAAATTAGATGAATTACTATCAGTGATCGATTTACCTATGATGACTAAGCATCTGTACCAAAAATTACACGAGTTTGTTTCTAACGCCTGGGAAAAAGCACTTGGTCAATCCATGCAAGAAGCCGCATAAGAAGAAAAAAGAATTGCTTTAGAAAAAAGTCGTGTAACCACTGATGCCACTCCTATTATAGATGTTATTGCTGATGGATGTCGGAGTAAGAGGTCTTATAAAAAGAATTAGGTAGTTTATCAGGTAATGTAGAGATAAATAAAAATCACAACTGGTTCTACCAGGTACAAGGGCAGTTGCCCGTGGCTCGCAAAGCAAAATGTATATTCGCTGTATGGTTCAGTGAGTCGCAACCACTGAAAACGGAAGTTATTTATAGGGATGATGATTTTTTTGAAAACAAAATGAAGTCAATATTATGCAATTTTTATTTAAATTGTATATTGCCTGAAATTTTAGACCCAAGACATACTAGAAATTTGAAAATACGTAATCCAATCTACATAATTGAATTTATTAAAAAAAGAGAAAAAAAAACTTGAAATCTCCAAGAGGAAAATACAACGCATAATTCCAATTGCTGAGCAGGAAGAAAATACAACGCTTTCCTTATATCAAGAATCGACACGGTAGTCAACACCAGTAATTCTAGAAATGGAACAACCTGTTCACGATACTTAGATTATAATGAATTTTAACTTGCAAAAAATATTCAACGGTTGATTTAATCTTCACAGATTTATGGTGTGCCTAACATGTTATGATAAAATAATTAAAAAAAGTACGCAAAGTTTGTTTCCTCTTTTACTTAATTTAGCACTTACATATATGAGCCAGATCATCACTAGACCTTCAGAATATTTATCGTAGCAACGTCCGTGATAAATATGACAGTAACTGAAAACTAAATCTTTCTCACTATTTCCATGGCCCAGACCTCCTTAAATTTACCTGTTCATACACATACCTTCACAAAGTGTCACGTAGCAGCGTCCGTGCTGAATATGAGAGTTTCTGAAAATTAAATCTTCCTAACAATTTCAATAGCGGAGAACCACTTGGTACTTACCTGGTCATCCACATATCTTCGTGAAGTGTCACGCAGTAGGGTCTGCGTTGAATATGAGAGTTTCTAAAAAGTAAATCTTCCTAACATTTCCATTGCTAGAACCACTGGTCTCCTACCTTACAAAGTGTCATGTAGCAGCGTCCATGCTGATTATGAGAGTTTCTGAAAACTAAATCTTCCTAACAATTTCTATTGCTGAGAACCACTTGGTAGGCTTGGTACTTACGTGTTTATTCATATAACTTCACAAAGTGTCACGTATACATAACCCATGCCGAATATGAGAGTTTCTAAAAAGTAAATCTTCCTAACCATTTCCATTGCTAAGAACCACTTGGTACTTACCTGATCATCCACATACCTTCACAATGTGGCACGTTTACAGAATCCGTGCTGAACATGAGAGTTTCTAAACACTAAATCTTTCTAACCATTTCCATTGCTAAGAACCACCTGGTACTTACCTGGTCGTCCACATACTTTCACAAAGTGTCACGTACACAGAATCCATACTGAACATGAGAGTTTCTGAAAACTAAATCTTCCTAACCATTTCCATTGCTGAGAACCACTAGGTTCTTACCTGGTCATACCTTCACAAAGTATCACGTAGGTACGTCCGTGCTGCACATGGGAGTGAATATTGTTACAAGGTCTAAAGTGAATAATACGTCATTTCACTACTAGGTCTCTCAGAGATCGAATAAAATTATGCAAATAAGTTGTCATATTATCTATACATCGTTAATCTTTGTCTACTATTTACGTAGTGCCATTGTAGTACGTCTGCTTTTGGTAGATGTCGCTAAATTTAAACAAAGTCTAAATCGTCAAAGTTACTGATCGTTGTAGGAGCCTTAAGTAGTACGGTGAGTTCTGAAATTTTAAAAATTACTCATTAAAAAATTACCTCTCATATGTCAAAAAAATGAATACAAAAGTGTTCTACGTCTCTCAATTAGTAACATATTCAAACTTTTGGACTAAAAAATCTATTTTCGCAACAAACGAATGATTCAGCACAAAAAACTGCTACAAGAGCTTCTGTTTTGCGGTCGGCTTAATTTCAGAGACGACGAAAAGGATACTAATAAAATATTATTTACAAAACATACAAGCTGCGTTTTTTTTAAAGACTCCCCGAGGAGCAATGCGACCTCCATGTTTTCGTACGAACATGTGACGCCTGAATTTGAGCTTAGGGATACCATGTGCAAGTTTTAAGTGCTGGACAAAAAAAAAATTAAGCGAGAATAAGTATCAACATCATAGTACCGTTAATTTGTACTGATTGTCACGTTATGATATTTTCATTAGAAATCTAATCTTAATTTTCATGTTTCCCTTTGACTTGACTTGAAGTGACAAACGAACTAGCATGTAACCTGCATCAGGTTAGTGGCTACAAATGCGTGGTATTACGTATATTATACTAACAGTATAATAATTATTATGTATTAAAGATTTTAAGAATTAATTCGCACACATCCGCTCAATAAAATAAAGTTATGTGTCTTACCTAGTTTGAAGAGCACCTCCCGCCCTCCCTCAATTGCGTGCACGAACCCCGTCACCACTAATCCCAGCACCACTACACTAAGAACACCTTTTTTGACCAGGGATCACTTTATATATATATATATATATATATATATATATATACAGCTCAGATGGGTAACGCTCGCTGTAAATATAACAGAACACGAGTAACCCGGGTTCAATCCCCGCCGGCACCAATGAAATTTTTAATTGTAATTTTAAGTGCTGATTTACCACGAGCTCAGTGGTGAAGGAAAACATCGTGAGGAAACCTGCATGTCTGCGAATAAGAAAAAATATTTCGAAGGCATTTGAAGTTGGCCAATACGCATTGGGGCAGCGCGGCGGACACTTCCTTGCCCTAAAACCCTCTCAGAAATGGGGGTAGGCCTGTGCCCAGTAGTGGGACGTATATATGCTGTAACTTTACTTTACTTTTAGGGACCACAAGGTGAAAGGAAAAACTATGTTATTCAAAAAATAAATTATAATCATAACTTTTAACATTATTATATAATAAACTGAAAAGAAGCATCCATTAACAGTATTATTTGTGTATTTATTGCAAAAGCTACCAGGTACTTAAAAATAACAAATGTGTTATTTAAAACGACTAGGTAGGCACAACATTTAAATCTTTAGAGGACCATATTTAAGCTCTTGCGGACCACTGGTTGGGAATCACTGCTTTACCCCATATCATCCCGTAGGCTCGTAAGAAGCGACGGAGGAAAATAAAGCAAGAGATAGGCAGCAGTATCATCATGATAACAGCCCAAAATAAATGTTTTTATGACAAATATCCCATGGTCCACGGAGTGGACTCTACGTGCGATCGCAGCCGGCGTGGCGCCAACGTTTGTGTTAAATCACAAATTGTCAGTTACCGGGTCTTACTATACTGTGATTGACCTATACAATTATTCGCTGAATCTATGTCAGATATAATTATTATCGAATAAGCCTGCACCGTTGATAGCTTTCGCTTATTCGCAAGTTGTCGCAGGTTTAAAAAAATGAAATCCCGTACTGAACCCATATTTACGTACGATACGTCCGGGAAAATTTGAAAGCTTTTTTCAGATTACAGGTAGGCAATCTTTTAATTAACAGTCATCGTATTAGTGCTATTAGATACATTAATAAAAACGAATTCTTTTTCTTAAGATTCAAATTTCTAATTTATTCATTTAAAATTTTTGATAACATTTTATTTTTAATTCATATCAATAAGCAATGGCCGGTATTCGGCTCGCAGAGCTTGTTATGAATCTTGTTTGCGTCTATTGCTTTGCCTAGCTGTCCCCGATAGTCAAGCCGTGTGTACACTTTACGTACTAGACTGCTTTGATCTTAACGAATCATGCGCCACACTCTCGCTTGTCGCTATAAATATTGTCAGGACAAATTTCGACTCTTTGAAATCACCGGGTCGTACGACGGAGCGCCGATTTAATTCGATTTATTAGGTTTAAACTGCGAGAATGAATTAATGGCACACTCCGCAATGAAGTTCTTGTTTTGATTGCTCAAGAAATCGATGTTGATCGTGAAATACGACAAAACATTATTTTATTCGGTGGACATGCAAATTCCTATGGTTTTGATTTAGCCTATTGTAAATAACATTTATGGTCGATAAAATTATTATCTTATTTCTATTTACAGATAATGATTTTTCATGTAATGACCGCGTAGGATAATCCAATACTCTCCACTACTCTATATCATCCCGTCGGTGTCGTAAGTTTTTTTTTTTGAGTACACAGTCCACCTGATAGTAAGTGGATGTTGTGGCCTATAGACATCCACATTTATCCTCAATTAGGAGTCAAAATACAAATGCGTTGTCACCCCTGAAAACTAAGTTGAAATGCCTCGATTTCAGTAAAAAGAGTATCCGGTTCTCTACACTCAATATACGAAACACAACATCATTACACTGCTCTTTTACGTTGGTATTCTGTGAGGGCATGGTCCTGCCCCGGTTGAGTCGACCCATTTGTTCTACAACTATAATATAGCTGCAGCGTAGCTACACCGTGTAAAAACCCCGGAGATGAGCGGCAGAATTCTCATGACAGTAACTTAGAATAATGAAAGACTGTGGTTGCCAGCCCGGTAATCGTGTTAATATGGCAAATATCTCCTCTATCA